AAATGAATTCATACTTTTATGTTACAAATCCCATCCCACATCAGAAATAATGCCTATATTAGAGAATTTAGATGTACAGATATTTTACGACGAAAATATTTTCCCAAAAATGGTACCCCCCGTACCTCTCTCTGCTCAAGTTTTTCATTTTAAAAAACAATAGGAGAACAAACAATAAATCCGATAAATTTAGAAGATTTTTATACTTACCACCACCGCATTCATTCTCAAACCTTAAGGCTAGCTATATGATTATTTATTTTCTTCATACACTCACTGAAATGTTTGTAGCTGTGGTGTGGATATTTATTTTCTTCTTTGTACTATAATTGGAGACTTTGCACATTAAATCTCGGCGGCGTTGGCAGTTTTTCCATAAAAAAAAATACATTATAAAAATGGATCAAATTTTTCATTTTCAAAAAATATGAGAGGAACAAACAATAAATCCGATAAATTTAGAATATTTTTATACTAACTACCACCGTATTCATTCTCAAACCTTAAGGCTAGCTGTGTGATTATTTATTTTCTTTTAACAGAAAATTATCATTTTATATCTCATCCATCAAAGGTGGTCGCACTATTATACAATTGTGCAAACTAACGTTAAAAAGCATTAATAAAATATGGATACTTATGTTAAATTATATACATCATTGCTATTTAGTCTTAAATGGCAATGGGGCTACCGACTAAGACTTAGTGGGTAGTTTTCACTATTTAGTGTGACATATATATACATATACATATACATATACATATATATATATATATATATATATATATATATATATATATATATATATATATATATATATATATATATATATATATATATATATATATATATATATAGATCATCACTACATATAACACCATCCATCGTGCAATATGAGTCATGCCGAGGGCCAACTACCCACATCATGGACCAGCAGTATTGTTCTACCAATACCGAAACCATGACAGCCTGATGCTTTTCGTCCCATATCACTAACCAGCTGTCTGTTTAAAACCTTTGAGAGGATGGTTCTTGGCAGATTCTTATATAGAATCAGAGAACACATGTCTCCTAACGTAAATGGCTTCACCCATGGTAAAGGTGCACATAATTGCATCACCACATTCCTAACTGTGCATGGTGATGAAAGGCACAGATATACCACATTTCTTGACTTAAAAGCTGCATTTGATATTGCCAATAGGCAACTGATATTGTACGAACTAGCCAAAATGGATATAGGACGTATGCTGTTACACTGGATAAGTGGTTACCTAACCAACAGAAGGGCTGCTGCACTGTTTCAGGGTTACAAAAGTGAAGTCAAAGATATGCAACTTCGTACTCCTCAAGGTGGAGTACTTAGCCCCCTTTGTTCAATGTTCTCATGAATGCATTATTAAATTTAATACCAGACAACCCCAGCAATATCTCAATCAGCTATGCTGATGATATTCTTATACATACTAAAACTCATCGTGAAATGCAAACCACCCTGAACCATGTATACGCAGCCTGTGAGAACCTCGGTCTTATTATCTCCACTGAGAAAACTAAGGTGTTCAACAAACAAGCTGGTAACCGCAAACGCGCCCCGCCAAGTTCAAGATAGGTAACAACACTATTGACTATGTTTCTTCGTTTAAATATCTTGGTGTTTCCGTCCCTTGTACCCTACCTGCTATACAATAGCTAACCCGCCAATGTACTGATAGACTGAGACCTCTTAGAAGTGTAGCGGGGTACAGCCCGCACTATGGTGCGAATATTAGAATTGTTAACACAATGTACCTAGGGTATATAAGATCTCTGATAGATTACCACGCACCAGCCCTGGTCCTTCGTGACGGGAAAGGCGTTGACAAGCTCGAGAAAATGCAAAATATAGCCCTCAGAATTATCCTAGGATGTCCCATGAGCACTAAAGTACTTAATATGAGGAAAGAACTAAGTATACCCAGTGTTAAAGATAGAATAATTGAAGTCAACCTCATGGTAGCCCTGAGGCTTCTGCGTGGTGATCCTGATAACATTGTTTCCGTAAAATTGATAGAATGTATGAACCATGGGACTGTTAAGTCTAAATGGATCCAAACTACAGCTACACATATGAAGATGTTTGGACTAGACCACCTGTACAAAGTTGAGACACAACAGCGCTTCCTGCCACCCTGGCGGGCAGTTCTCTTCGATATCACAATACCGACATATCCGCCTAAAAAATTTATTATACAAACCATTTATCTCCAACACACTGCCAAATTGAGAGCTCTTGAACACATACACACTCTACAGACTGATGATAATATCACACAGGCCATCTACACTGATGGATCTCTTAACACCGCCTGTGGGAGGGCTAGAAGTGCTATCGTTGTGACTCAACCTGACGGTAATATAATTGAGAAAGGAGTTAGATAACAACTGGGCATCCACTCTACAAACTGAATAAGTTGCCATACTCACAGCTATTAAATTCATTGAAACCACTGTTACTGACCGTCTCATCATCACTGACTCTCGATCCTCACTACTTGCCCTTGACACCCTCGACTCATGTTGTCACGCTCTTGTCTCTGAAGCCAGACACAAATATGCGTGCCTTGTTGACCGGGGTGTCAAGGTCAAACTGTTGTGGATCCCCTTTCACTTAGGCCTCATAAAACATGACAGAGTTGATGCCCTCGCCAAACTCGCGCCTAACAAAGACACTGTTGAATACAATTTGGGTCTGTCAAAAAGAACCCTTACAACTGTAATTAGGAAACAACTTACTGATGAGTTTGACACAAGTAGACTAGTGCAATCAGGCACTAGTCGATCCACAGTTTACCATGATGAGATGTATCAAGTGAAACATGTATATGGAGCAAGTAACAAGATCACTAGATTACAAGATGTTGTAACCGCTAGATTAAGGTTAGGATAAAAGTACCTTTGGCAGTATGTTCCTCAAGCAGATGTAAACAAAACTAAATGTAAGTGTGTGGCCAGACATATGGCCACACACTTGAACACTACGTCCTGGACTGTGTGAAGATTGAACCTTTTAGGGACAGGTCCAAGCACACTGTGTGTGAAATGGCACAACACTTCATCTCTAATGGCAAGATAGCCGACATATTAAGATTGTATCCACTTTTTTGCACCTAGTAACTATATCAGTTCTCATGTACAGAACCAAATACGCAATGTGCTTGAATACTTCTCACGTAAATGTGAATTACAAAGTGTGAGGTCAGACATACTGCCTCACACGCCTATACTCACACAGTTGTGAATAAGTTTTCCTTTATGCTAAACAAATAATGTAATTGAAATACTGTGTAACATTCAGTGCCATAATATCCTGACAACGGGGGTTAATTATTATGACCCGTTGTAAAATCTACTCTGTAATCCTTTTGCGCTACCACTCACAGGATGAGTGTGGGGTGCACAATAAAGTAGCCGCTGTAAGCGGGACAATCAAAATCAATCATCATCACTGCATATAACACCACCCATCATCACTACATATAACAACATCCATCATCACTACATATAACACCATCCATCATCACTACATATAACACCATCCATCATCACTACAGATCGGTAAAGTAGTTTCCGAGATTCTCGTGCGGACACACAAACAAACACACAGACATACTTCTTTGTTTTATATGTATATAGATAATTGTTAATTATTTAATATATTTATATTAATTTTATTATTATTATTATTATTATTATTATTATTATTATTATTATTATTATTATTATTATTATTATTATTATTATTATTATTATTATTATTATTATTATTATTATTATTATTATTATCATTAATATTATTATTTTATTATATTATATTTGCGCCCCCCAGGCCTTGATGTGGGTCATTAAAAATGACCTGTGCCCGGGTGGGCTAATGCCCGTTAAAAAAAAAAGAGGTAAATATTCTACGGCATGCCACAGGTAGGTGTTCTGCTGCATACCAGAGGTAAGCCTTCAGTTTCCTGCCAAACGTATGGTTTTTGCTCGTCATGCCCCTTGGCTCAACTGGGTACTTCCGCTGCATGACTGTTAAGATTTCCTGCTGAATGTATCAGTAAGTACTTCAGCTGTAAGCTTCAGGTAAGTGTTCCTACTGGAGTCTTCATTAAGTACTTCTGTTGGAGGTAACTACTACTGCCCATATTGTGATCTTCTCTAGTAAATGCCCTTACGGTTATTTGTCTGCCAATTACTGCCAATCAAATCCCAGATCTTCTTAATCCTATGTTACAACCTTGTGTTACTGAGTGTACTTTACGAGAAAATAAAACTATTGTATTGTCCAGAGCGATCAGAACAACTTTGTAAATACTTTGTCAGTAATGTGATTCCTTCTGGAAATATAACAGTGGCAGGCACAAAAGCTTCCCCCCCCCCCTCTTTCTTCCCCTGGACATTCTTGGTGTCCAGAACTTGGCTGACTACAACTCGATGTCCTACAGGATCTCGGATCTTGGATCAGTGGCGCTGGGTCTGCGGGCGTCATCTACGTCAGTCTGGGTTCTGTGATGGACAGTAAGTCGTTGCCACTTGAGTATCAGCAGATCTTACTCCAGGTGTTCCGCAGGCTACCTCAGCGGGTCATCTGGAAATTTGAGGGAGAGCTGAAGGACGTCCCCGACAACGTGATGATCAGCAAGTGGCTCCCCCAGCAGGATGTTCTCGGTGAGTCTAGTCTGGGATATTTATTGTTGAAAACCCACTACTTCTTGTGCTGACACTGTTGCCCTCTGTATAAGTCCATCCTACGATTCACATGCATCTTTTTCTAATTTTTATTTATTTTTGTACAGTTTGTCAGAATTTTGTATAATATGTTCCGTTATGGCCATATAAGTGACACATCCTATTTTCTTTTACTAACTCCACTATAAAATTACACCTTTTCATATATCCGTTGAGACATTGTTACATAACTATTTGACAAATTTCATAACCGAATGACAGACAGAACACATATCGAATGACACTCTCAATTAACTGTTGGTGGTATGTCATGCTTCAATTGTTATATTCTCAAACTATATGTAGACTTTCGGTTTATTGTTCATGTCTGTCAACTTCATAACTTATGACAATCATTTCCGTTAGCATGAACGAACAGTTATTTTAGATTGTCATTCGATATGTGTTCTGTCATTCGGTAATGAAATTTGTCAAATAGTTATGTAACAATGTCTCAACGGATATGTGAAAAGGTGTACTTCTTTTAAGTTTATCATACATTATGTTTTCGTTATCGTATCCATTTCACTTCCTTTCTGTGACAAATATCCAGGTCAATTAAAGGTGTGGCTGTCAAATTATAATGTCCTCTACACATATGTCTAGTAAGAGTGAAAATATTACATGTTTACATGTTTTTTGACTTTTACTTAGTCCATCAGCCAGCCCTCATACAGACGGAAACTCTTGTATACTTTAATATTACCAATTACATCAATGTCAACACAATTTTAGGTTCTGAGAATAGACAAATACTTGATTTTTTAGGATTATTTCCTGGTCCCAATTCTTCTTTCAGCAAACTTTAGTATTTTTCTCGTGTATTAAGTAGTCAATCTAAAGTACATTAGACCATAACCTTCCTGTCTCTGACATAACTTGTGTAGTGCAGCTCATGACAAGGTGAAGGTGTTCATCACTCACTGTGGACTCCTCAGCTTGCAGGAGACCACCTACCACGCCAAACGTCTTCTCGCCCTCCCAACATTCAGTGACCAGCCCTAGAACGCTCTGAGGGCGAGAGACTCTGGCCTGGGTCACTCGTTACAGTGGGAGGAACTGACCATCGACGTGATGCTTGATGCTCTCACTGACATCCTCAACAACGTCACGTTAGTTTTATTGCTTAACTTTTCTTTTGTAAGATTCTCTATCCTTTTCTCTGCCTGAACAAGAATATAACTTTTAGTTCTAAGTGTCTTTAATAAGTATTAGATAGTAAGCACTCGAACAACTCATTGACTTAGGAATAAGAAAGTCTTTCCTTTAAACCTTTATCGAAAAAATAAAGAATCTTGGCTGTTTCTTCTAAATTTTATATTCCAAAGAAAAAAACAAAACATATATGATGTACAGTAGCTAAAACAACTATCTGCGCAGGTGGTGGTCGATATGCTCCGAAATTTTACTTGTGACTAGTGACAGCCCTCATATACCAAAATTAATCGTTCATGGAATCATGTTGTTTTCCACAATGTATGCACAGATAGTTATTTTAGCTACTGTACATCTGTATGCTTCTGTTAGTAATGGTTTATTACTGCATCTCAAATATTATAAATAACGAATCATTACATAACTCGGGGAACACACAGATTGAAGATCAAATGTATTCTTTAAAATCCTTACGTGTATTGTACAAATTATTCATAAGTCATCCCAATAGAAAATTTACTCTCATTCAACGAATGGCATTTTATTCACTTTCATTATTTTCCATGGTTAAATATAAAGATAATGTGTTAAGGATGTCAAGACTCCTGCGGGATCAGATCAACACTGTCAGGGAGGTAGCAGTGTTTTGGACAGAGTACGTCAACAGTCACCGTGGGGCGCCCCAGTGGAGGTCCCCAGTCACACACCTGTCCTGGGTACAGCTTTACATGCTCGACGTGTTGCTGCTCCTCTGTGTCGTTCTCTTCGTCCTTTGCATTACCCTACCTCGCATCATCACCTTTATCTTTGGTAAAATCTTTCGTGGTAAAGAAGACAAGAGGAAGAAGGAGTAAGAATGTCGTCCTGGTGCTTTTGTTGAAGCTGGATCATTGGCTAAATCTTCAGAAGTGGTGGAAAAGAAAGGACGATTAATTCAAATTGTTGCAATTAAAACCTGGTTACGAAATGATTAATCTTTCAGAGCTTGATAGTGAGAGCAAATATCGAATTAGTTAATTGTATACGCCTCTCTCTCTCTCTCTCTCTCTCTCTCTCTCTCTCTCTCTCTCTCTCTCTCTCTCTCTCTCTCTCTCTCACACACACACACACACACACATACACACACATATTATCGCCAGTATCACTAACTCGTTTTTTCTCTATTGCATATGTTTGGTGTCTTTCTAGGTATCCGTTTTTTTTTCTTGATCCTGAAAAGATGCAATTACATTACTTTTCCCTGATGCTCAAAAAGTTACATGTTTTCGTGACATAAGAACATAAGAACATAAGAATGGAGGAAACTGCAGCGGGCCTATTGGCCCATACTGGGCAGTCCCGTTTACACCCAACCCCTATTGCTCATATGTCATCAGCAAATTTACTTATGTTGCTGTCTATGCCGATATCTATATCGTTTATGTATATAATAAACAATAATGGTCCAAGTACTGAGCCTTGGGGAACTCCACTTGTGACGTTGCTCCAATGGGACTTAGTGCCGTTAATGCTCACTCGCTGTTTCCTGTCCTGTAACCACGCCCTAATCCATTTAAGGATGTCACCTTTGATGCCATGAGCTTCTACCTTTCTAATTAGTCTTTCGTGGGGGACTCTGTCGAAGGCTTTGCTAAAGTCGAGATATACCACATCATAATTGTGCCCCTCGTCCACCGATTCGAAAACTGTTGAAAAGAATGTTAATAGATTAGTTAGGCAAGAACGTCCACTTGTGAAGCCATGCTGGGAATCATTGATCAATCGGTGCTTCTCCAGGTGATTTCGAGTAGAGTTTGAAATGATTGCCTCCAGTAATTTGCCTACTATTGATGTTAGACTGATTGGGCGGTAGTTAGAGGATAGTGATCTATCCCCCTTCTTGAAAATCGGTATTACATTCGCTATCCTCCAGGATTCTGGTACTACACCTGTTTTTAAGGACATGTTAAACAACTTTGCTAAGGGCATACTATGCTCTTCCTTACATTCCTTTAATACTCTGGCAAATATCTCATCGGGACCAGGTGACTTATTAGGCTTTAATTTGTCTATTTGCTTTCTAACATCGTTACTAGTCACTACTATCTCACTTAATTTGTTTTCTTCACTATCTCTGAATAGAGTCGGTGCCTCGGGTATCATGTTTAAATTTTCGGTGGTGAAAACTGTTGAAAAATATTTATTCAAATTATTGCTCACTTCTCCGTCGTTATCAGTGAGCTCGCCGGAGTCTGACCGTATTGGTCCAATCTTTTCTCGTGTTTTAGTTTGACACATTTGGTAGAATCCTTTGGGGTTTGTCTTCGCCTCCCTTGCTATCCTTACCTCATTATTCCTCTTTGCTTTCCTTATCTAGGTTTTAACCCTACTCGCCAATACCCTATAATAGTCCCGGAGGTGAATTTCGCCACGATTTACCCTTCTACCTATAGCCTTCCTTTGGCCAATGATGTTCTTTAAATAATTATTTATCCATTTAGGGTCATTGTTGTCTGATCTGAGTTTTTTGTATGGTATGTTCTGCCTTTGTGCATTAAGTAACTCACTATTTAAATTGTCGTGGAACTCCGCAATCTCAGATCTCGTTATCAGTTCGGTGTCATCTGTCAGGTTCTCGGCCAAGCGCGACACCCCCTCTCTCAGCTGCCTCTTTAAACTGTCAAAGTTTGCCCTTCTGAAATCTGGTACTTTAGTGGAATTTTCCTTACGTCTGCCCTGAAAATCTAACTGGAATCGAATTTCTTTGTGATCGCTGTTTGCAAGTTCGTTCCCTACCTCGACATTGCTAATGAGGTTTTGTCTGTTCGACAGAACTATATCCAGTATATTATTACCCCGTGTGGGTTCGGTTATATGTTGACTTAGGAAACAGTCCTGGATCGTCTCGAGAAAATCCTCTGATTCTGAGTTGCCCTTAAGGTCAGTCCAATCTATTTGGCCAAGGTTAAAGTCGCCTACTATACAGACTTTGTTGTGTATGGAAGCCCTGCGCATTTCATCCCAGATAAGTCCCAGTCCCAGTCGTCATACAGACGGCAACTCTTGAGCTGTTTTGTACACTACACGCACACACACGCACACACACACACATACACACACACACACACACACACACACGCACACACATACACACATACACACACACTCACTCACTACATCCTTGACCACCGGAGGGTCAAGACCTATCAGGAGCTGCTCCTGTTGCTCCCCTTGGCCAATGTTCGGCCCATTCTCCAAGTCCCTCTCCGCGACCAATCCTCACCACCTGGATATCAATAAAATCAAAAGTGACAATTTCATTTCGGAAAGAACTAAGATCAGTGTTGAACAGAGTGTAATGATTCTTTACCGCACCACAGATACAGCCCAGAGAAATACAACACACATAACAGTAAGTAAATGACCATGTGGTAACCCACATAGGTTGACACACCCTACAGTGACAGTAAGACCTGACCCAGGAGAGGTCACGGACAAGGTACCGGAGTTAACCCGGTGTTATGACCGTGTTAGTCAAGAAACTACACCTAGACAAGCTGTCCAGACCTGACCCAAGAGAGGTCAGTCTCACTGACCCAGAGTTCTAACCGCCCCGCGATTGACTTAACCCAGCGACATGACCATGTTACTCAAGAAGCTACCTTTCAGCGAGTACACTTGTCACCTGACCAGACACACCCAGATTACTGACATCTTCTGACTCACGCCAATATAAAGGTCCTGCAGCTCTCTCTCCTCTGAGAAACAGTCACATTCGGATTATTATTGTCTCCAGCTAGCAGAGCCTCCCACAGGAGACATAGTCCAGCACTCCAAGGGTGAGTTACTTATGGTGGGAAGTGTATCCATTTCATGTTTGTGTCCGAGAGTCAGTGTCCAGTAACTTCGATATATTGATCTATTAATGTGTCCATGTCATTCAGTTAATTAATAAATAGTTGTATTGAAAGTGGTGCTTAGAAAGATTTCCCCTAAGAATATAATATCAAGTTGAAAGTAACTAACCGGCCACGCTACCAAAACTTCCTCACTCTACAGTCCCCCTACTATAATATCTTGCTCGTATTTCTACCCAGTTCCCCCCTGCTTTACAAGTGTTTAAGCCAGTGAATTCTGCACTAGACAGTACCAACGAGAGCCATGACCCACCAGTGAGATAAGCACTCCTGGAACCGACCACTATCTTCTGACCAGGCAGTGTTAATCAGTCCACCTGGGAACAACAGAGGGTCGGCCTCACACCTGATTACGAGATAACACAACACCACCTAGCAGAGAGTGAGGAACAGTGACACCACCCCACACCATACAGTGTCTCCATAATCACGGGAGGTCCTTCATATCAACACCCGAGGACGAGTCACTATACCACGTTAACACCACACCACCCGATATCTCCATGACCACGTGAGGCCCTGCATAATTTAGTAATTAAGAAGATTTCTAACCAGGTGAGAAGGTTGGGTCATCTTACCCTCTGACCTGACTACCGACTGCTGTGGTGCTTATGAAGATTAGTAGGGTCACTGCCTAGTGACCAGGCCATTGTGGACACTCATTGTCCCCTAGGGACTTGATCTCACTCTCCTCTACTGTATATATATATATATGCCTTGTTATGTATTTCTCCTTAGTCTGTACTCACCCCTGAAGATGTGAATTACACGAAAGCACTTGGGAACTTCGTGTTTTCTTGTTTCCTTGTGGTTATCATCATATATATATATATATATATATATATATATATATATATATATATATATATATATATATATATATATATATATATATATATATATCACACTAAATAGTGAAAACTACCCACTAAGTCTTAGTCGGCAGCCCCATTGCCATTTAACATAAATAAGCAACATCGAGGACAATTTTAATAAAGTTTGCACAATTAAGTATTAAGCGGCAATATTATGGGTGTTTAATTTAAAAAACCGAAAATTGTTTATGAATGGATATGTAATATATTGGATTCATAAATGGATATGTAATATATTGGATTATGGTTTTAAAATGTTTTTTTACATTATTCAACCTTATTCCTTTTCTTTTTCGCTAAATCAATAGAAAAGTACGTCTAAATAGCATATTTTTGTCCAAAAAAGTCGGTGGTGCGTCACTCATAAATGGTGTATATATATAACATTTTCAACAGAATTTGGGACTTTGCACATTAAATCACGGCGTTGGCAGTTTTTCCTTAAAAAAAAATACATTATAAAAATGGATCAAGTTTTTCATTTTCAAAAAATAGGAGAGGAACAAACAATAAATCCGATAAATTTAGAAGATTTTTATACTAACATTATAGAACCTCCCATAAGATTACCCCAAATTGATGTTGATGATTTAAACACTATAAATTTAGATAATTTGAGTCTTATTATAGAAGCGTTATCAGGTTTACTTAAAAGTTTGTCGACATTTCCTTTACGTCCACCTCTGAATTTGACTGCGGATATAAAAGATACCCAAATTATAAAAATTATACAAGACTATATTAAAAATTATAATGACGAATCAGACGAAAAAAAGTGTCAGGAAAGTACAGATAAAAATAATAAACTCCAAGATACTCTTGATGATGGATTTCATAATTTATTCAATATACAAAGAAAAACACATGATGAAAATAATAACAATTTGGCATATTATCGCTGGCATACTTTACAAAATAACAATCAACCTCAACCACCATTACAAATTTCACAACCACAACCATTTATAACTACAGCCCAATCATTGTATCAGTATCCTCCTCC